TCCAAGGACAAGGCAGTGGCTAGGCCAAGCCCGAGACAGACGGCGCTCTGGCCGACGCGGAGAAGACACGGTCCTCATGGGGCTGTCCTTCGGAAATCTGGGGTGGCAGCTATTCCGGTCACATACAGGCCAGCAACGAAGGGCCAGGCAGCTGGAAGTGCTGGACAAAACTCCCGGCGTGGGGACGGGGAGGGGAGGCCCACCTGACTTTGCCTTCGTACTGCCCGTAGAACAGGTGCTGCCGGCCCGTCCACTCCGCCATCACGAACTCCAGCGCTGGCTTCCCGGTCGGCCCGGGGAGGCTGCAGAGAAACTCCAGCAGGGGCTCCAGCTGGGTGTGCACCAGGTGGGCGAAGACCATGATCAGGGACTGGGGGGCCAGAGGACACGAGCTCAGGCCAGAGACACCGGGGGCGGCCGGCCGCGAGAAGCCGAGACACGGGCTCTCCATGTCAAGGGTTCTGGCCGCACGCGACTGCACTCGACTGTTCCGCAAGAGCCGTGGGCGAGGGGACAGGGGCTGGAGGCGGTGCGCCGACTCCCGTCCCCTCCCGCTGCCCCGCCCCGCCCCGCCCTACCTGCATGACACTCAGCGTCTCGGCCTGCTGCATCTTGCTGAGGATGGCGCGCAGGATCTGGTCCAGATTCTCCCCCAGCTCCCGCCCGGCCTTGGAGATGAGTGTGGAGACGAGGCGGCCCACGAAGGCCGCGGTGAACTCGGAGGTGCGGGGGTCCAGCAGCTGGCTCACCACGCGCATCACGTACCACAGCCCGCCGTGGCCCTGGTCGTCGTGCCACTGGGCCACTTGCTCCAGCGCCACGGACACGTAGGCCCGCAGGCACTCGCCGCCGTTCTGGGGAGACGTGGCAGGCTGAGGTCAGCGACCGTGGCTGTGCACTGGGAGGCCACCCGGCTGCGGGGCAGATGCGCCCCCGCCCCCCAAGGCCACACCGAGCGCAGAGCTATTCGCTGAGACGGCCCCGCACCTGCCACGCTCCCGCCCCACCTGCCCAGCCGTCTGAAAACTGCCCGTCTGATCACAGGGGGCGAGGGCTGAGCAATCAGCGCTCACCATAAAGACCCACCTCTGACATCGGAAAACATGTCTGAGGGGCAATAACCTGGGGGCGGGGCGGGGGGGCGGGCGTGGAACGAGTCTATGCAGAAATTGCCAAAAGCCCATCGCTTTGCTGACTAACAGAAAAAACGCCCAGAAAGGCCCTTATCACGGCCCAGGCCGGGGTGTCGGCAACCTCTCCCACAGCGGCGACACCCAGGTGTCAGGGTGCCCGCCTCTCTCCGATGCACTGAGTGACCGGCGCTTGCGGCCGGAGCCCGTCCAGTGCTCTGGGCGCACGTGGGTGTGAGGCTCCTCTCTCGGCGCCCAGAAACCCGTGCGGAGAGCTGTCCCCCTCTCGTCACCTGGGCCGGTACCTGCATGGTGGCGTTGTCATCTGTGTGCAGGGTGCACTGGGCCACGGCGGGGAAGGCCTGGCAGATGAGCAGCTGGGAGAGGGGTGGCTGCGTGCTCCGCACCACTGTCGTCAGGATGTCGATGGCGGTCTGAGGACAGGAGGGGGAGGTCAGGATGGCCTCGGGTGGGGCGGGGTGCCCACACCCTGGTCCCCACCGTGGGGGCACACGCAGCAACCCAGAGAACGCTCGCTAACGGAAGGCGACTTTCTGAAAGAAAAGGAGGAACGAGAAGGCGGACCGTGCTCTCCGCCTCCTCGCTTGACTGGTGGGGGGTGGGCGGCGCACGTCCGGGGACTGGACAGCCGGGCGACACGCTCCGTGGCATGGAGCACGGGGGGTGCTCTGCCCAACTCGCTGAGGCGCCTGGGAGACGAGCCCACGTTCTTAAAGCCGCAAGAGCCACCCACTGCCCTGTGGGGCGGGCCTGAACCCTAAGCGCTGGCGGCAAGTGCGGGCGCACAGCAGAGCGGGGTGCCGGTCCCGCCGACGGCACTCACCGCACACAGCCCGGCGGGCAGCTTGTCTGCTGGCGCCTGCATGATGCTGACGAGAGTCGGGATCAGCCTCATCTGCATCGGACCCTGGCAGGCTTCGATCTGGGACAGCTCCTTGAAGATGTCCTGAGCCAGCGAGGCGACAACAGGATCTGAAGTGGACGAGGCAACACGGGACCCGCCGGTTGGTCTGCAGGCCCTGCTGGCCCCATGGCGCCTGTGTGGCGGCCCCGGCCCAACCTGACAGCTTCTGCCTGGATTACATGTCCCGAGCCCGGGACCCGGAGGACCACGTGAATAACTCAAGGAGCCACCGGAGAGGTGCCAAGTCCCCGAGAGGCACGGTGTGTATGGTGTCACCGAGTCAGGGACGAGTCAGCGAGAGCTGCTCCTAAGCCCCAGCCTGGCTCCTTCCTGGGGCGAGTCTTGCACGTCTCTGCCCTGGGAGGCCTGGACGACCACGAAACCAAGGGCTCACGGGAAGGTCCCGCTGCTGCTGGTGAAGAGACAGGCGTTTCAGGCAGCACCTCCACACCGGCTCCCCCCAGGCTCTCGTGTGTGGAGGGGTCCCGGCCATCTCCCGGGGCGGTCACGACAGACGAAAGGCACACCCAAAGCTACTGTCCAGGACAGCGGGGAAGACCCCCAGAAAGCAGGGCTTGTGACCAGGTGGGACGCAGCCTGAGCCACGTGACCTGTGCAGGAGTGGCGTCCTTTGGGCCGGCACGGAAAACACGCGCCCCGCACGCTGGGGCACGTGCTGCAAGACTGCCACCATGCTGCTTGTGACAAAAACTGGGAAAGGAAACTGGCACAGCATCTCAAGGACCGTTAGGTGACGGCTGCAGAGAATGTGATGTATCGAGCACGACGTGGGGACCGCTCCAGGACGCGCTTAGAGACAGTAAGTCCAATCAAGTGCTCGGCACGGCCGAGCCCGGGACACACTCTGAGCTCCGACACTGGAGCGCCACCTTTAGAAACAGCCTCCGCCTCCCTTCTGATCATCAAGAATTAACGAGGCGCTGCCTGCAGCAACGTGGGGCAGGAAGAGCCGGCAAGGAGAGGGGAGCCTGGGATTCCAGCACCCAGCGACAAGCGCCCCTAGCGACGCATCTTCCCTATACGTAGCTCTACGCACTTCCTTCTAGAACAAAACGGACACCCGGGATTCTGCTCCGCACACCTGAGAGGTCTACTCGCCGCTCGCACCGAGCGCTTGCTCCCCCACCGCTGTGCGCGCCTCTCTGAAGTCTGATTTTTTAGGGGCTGCACGCTGTCCCACCTCATGGACATAATTCCTGTTATTTCCACGCCCCAGACCACGAAGGCGCGGGGAACACCCTCGCTCGGGGCCCTCTGCGCGCCCCTCCTCAGTGGCCTCTTCGCTCAGGAAGCTTTTGAGCCAGTGCCTCATGGCCCCCTTTGTTGTCAGTTCTGAACTCCCCGGTCCCTGCTCTCATCTGCAGTGAGACGGACAGTGACAGGCGCTCGCCGCTAGCCTGCTGCACCTACAGCCCGCGCCACCCCGCCGACTGACAGCCACTCTCTTGGCTCATCATGCCGAAGGTCATTGGCCCCGAGGTCGCACGCCCCGGGCTGTGCGGCGCCCGCCCCGGCGGCGTACCGTTGCTGTACTTGAGGAACACGGCGATGGTGAAGGGGCAGACTTTGCTCTCCACGCTTGCCGTGAACGCCGGGTCCACCGTGCAGACGGTGCACAGCGTCTCCATCACTAGGCTGAGGACCTCGGAGCTGAACTGTGCCGCCAGGTGGATCAGGCCATCCAGGATGCCGGGGAGGAAGGGCTGGAGGACGTGGGTGCTCTCCGAGGCTTTCAGCTGGTCACAGTAGCTGGGGAGACAGACAAGGGACAGTGACTCCCGGGGGCCCCGGACTGCTGGGCTCCAGTCAGTGGCACACGACACCATTTATGCACGTAGCTTCATGAAGCTACTGCTAGCATGGTTTTTACATCTTTCTACGGCAAATTTCATAAATAGCTGCACGACCGTTTCTATGTTCTCAAATCTATTTCTGTGTTAGTCTATTTCCTTTAGAACCCCTTTCATCCCTCTCCCCCATCTGTTTCCAAAGACGTCTCGGGCACATCATCACAGCCCAGCTACGAAGACAGACACTTTATGATTCCTCAGGCTGCCGCTTTAGTCACCATCCTGAGTCTGACAGAAATTCTTGTTATTTTCTAACTATGACGTTTTACTGTCTTTTCCGACGTAACCATTATTTAGTAGGAAACTATTTTTTAACTTCATTATAAAATTTTTCTACGTTTTGAGTTTTTTTTTGCATCCTAAAATGAGATCAATTTGTATAAACAATCACTGTACACATGTGTATTCGTAGGGTTTAAAGTTTTTATACGTAGCTCTACCTTGTCCCATTTTATTCAGTCAATAAATACTTCCTGGGTACTGCTTACCGTGTCCTGTGGACGTAATTACTAAAAATATACTATGTCTTTACTTCTATCTTCAGAATGACAATAAAAGTCAATAAAAACATTGTTCTGGATGCTAAAAAACCTACGACAGAAACAAGGCTCGAGAAATGTTAAAAAAAATTTTTCGGTGTCACAGAACCCCGTGTTTGTGTCAGCCGCTGGGTTCAACGGTCCCCAGTGGAGAATGAAACCGTGGCCTTTGACCCCAGGCTGTCTGCCAACTCCATGCCCCAGGCCGGAGCACCCTGCTCCCCCTCAGTCCACTCGCCTCACACGCCTCAGCCCTGGCCAGTCCCTGACCCTGGGCCCCCCGCCTCCTCCCCACACATCTCCATCCTAAGAGCCAGGGTCCCTCCGCCCTCCCGATGAACTTGAAACTGCCAGAGACCGCACTGGGACCCCAGCGTGCCATGCCAAGGGAGGCCGGGGTACCTCACACTTTTTTATAAACTGCTCCAAACACCTAATTTCTTCTTTAGCCCATGAGAAAGTCTTCACGGAAAACTGACGGCCCGGGAAGAGGCCACGCATTCACCTGGGGCTCCGTGTACCCACTGGCACGCGTGATCACCTTCTGAGCACCTGCAGGTCTTCGCCACTGGCCCCTGCCCCCGTCCCATGCTTTCAGAGGCCCCGCCTCCAGCTCAGAGTCCCCCTTCTGCTCGGGCCTGCTGGGGGCGGCCCCCGCTGCGGCTTTGCGTCTCCCGTGCTGTTCTTCGGCTTCCTCTTCGTGACTTCTGTGTCTTAGGCAAACTTCTCCTTCCCCTGGTGCAGTTTTCCTGACTTCACGGGACTGTCTTGCTGTGTTCCCTTGGGGCTCACTGAGTTTTTATACGTAGCTCTACCTTGAACAGCCCTTGTCAGTTCTGAATCGGGGGACTCAGTCACAGATCCCGGGTCTCGGGGGCCGGTCGCGGAAAGCCTTCCTGTGTGGTGTCGCGCTTCCTTGCACTGGTGTCTCACATCCGCAGTGGCATCGCCTCCTCCAGCCTTTACTGACCGCCCTTCAGTGTCCAGTCTTGGAGTCTGTGCTCCAAGAGCGTGCTGGAACTTCTCCGGGGACCGCTGGACTCCCACTAAGGTGCTCTCGTCCGCGGTGTCCGTCTCACCTCTCCTCGGGGGCTCTCGGACCATAGCTGACGGGCTAGAGGCAGTTCACGGGCCACCGAGAGTCCCCAGGGACCGAGGTCAGGCTTCCGATTACCCAACACACAGGCAGGCGAGACTTCCCTGGGTCCCTTGGTCTACGGCACTGGTGACAGAACCCAAGCCACATGGGACCACAGTCAAGTCCTCAGCGGACGGCGCTGTCAGGGGGCAGCATGTCCAAGCGGCCTTCCTGTCCCTGGAAGGCACTGGGCCCCACAGCACTCCTCCTCCCTGGTCTCGGCTTCCAAGAGGGCGTGTGTGCCCGTGGGCCAACGCCGAACTGCTGCTGGGAGAGGGGCGTGTCGCGGGGTCTCACCCAGCCCCTTGCCGACGCTGCGGCCCCTTGTCGCTTCCCAGACACGGCAGAGCCTGGCAGCGCGGCCTCTGCTCCAAAAGGGGAGCCGCCGGGGCAGCGGAAGGCGGGCTTTGTTTTCAGGGCTTTAGGTCGTTTTTAGGGTTCCGCTGAGACTCTTACGTGTGGACTTAAAAATGTCCACACGTAACCTGAGTGGGAATGTAAACCAGTGGCTAGCTGAGCCACCAGCACGCTAGCTGTGACAGGTAACAACAGAAGAAATGGCAGTGTCTCCAGGTCACTGTGCCAGTTCTGGTTTCCAGTACATGGGCGATTGAACTGCAGAGGGACCTGGGCCCTCCTCCCGCTGTTGCCACCACTGCTGTGAGCCCCGTGTAAGCACACACCTCTCAGGGGGGCGGCCGGGCGGCCGCAGCGCCAGTGACTCACAGGGAACGAGCAGCCGGGGAAGCGGACGCGCCTGGGCGCGCAGAAGCCACGCTCCTGGTGTGGCCTACCTCCCGGCCCTCCCCACACGCGTCGTGCAGGAGCCTGTCACCAGGAAGTGCCGAGCCGCACGATCCCCGGGTGGCGGCCGTCTGGGCGCCCACCTGGAGCTGTCTTCCCTGGAAGCGGCTCCCGGCCCCCGCTGGCGTACTCACCCCCAGATGGCTCTCACAGCAGAGATGCGCACTGACGGGGGCTGCGTCTCGTGAAGACCACTGACTGTTGCCTGGAGGAACTGCTGGACCAATTCGGGGGACATAGCGACAGTGAACCGACTGGCCGCCCACAGTGCCCGACCCAAGAGGAAAGGAGACACTGGGAGGGAGAGAGAGCAGTTAGGGCTTGGACGGCGCGAGTCCCTGCTACCTGCCCTGCCTCCTTCCCGCCTCCACCGCACGGTGACTAGATGCCGGCAACACGCACGACACGGGTGACAAAGACGAGAGCGAGCGTACGGCCACGGCCACAGCCCCAGATCCACTCTTCACTATCTGCACAGTGGATCTCGAATGTTCTTAGGCCCCAAAGACCGCCCGCCCGTTCTCACCCAGCTCTCCCCATCCCTCACCCGCACAGCTCATTAGTCCTCAAAATGCCAGCTCTGCCACTCTCAGAGCACCCTGGACACTACAGACCACAGGGCGGCCATCCATTCAATGTGCAACTCCCAGCCTGCCCCGCAGAGGGCGCCCCCAGCACCACGAGCCTTCGATCTCCCTTCCCCGCTCAACTCGGGACTAAGCCTGGCAACGCGGCCCTCAGCACCCCGTCTCCCTGCGCTGCCCGCCCGATCATCCCCGCTGACGGAGCCCTAACGCCCTCTGTGCGCTGGGACCTGACGCCTTTGGCAGTCATGGGATACACGTTTTATCTGCCCTTCTGGCTACCTGGGAAGGAAGACCATCCCGCCCGCTGGACGCTGCTCGAGGGCAGGGCCTTGACTGGCTCAGCCTGTCACAGGCTGAACGTGGCCACTTGCACAATAACGCCTGGTTGATGGGACTTACTGAACGGAAGCTAACAAACCGAGCCTGTCTGGTAACTAACGCTAATTCAGACAGCGCGCAGTGGCAGTTCACGCGTGGCCAGGGGCTCCTGGGAGGCCCAGAGCGACGTGTTCACAGTGCTCCCAGGACAGGCCTGTCCTCTTTCCTTCTCTCTCGCACATGCTGTGGAGTTTTCCAGAGGCGACCCGCTGTGCGACACCCCGGCTCGGATGGCCCATGGAATGAAGGTTTGCGTTTCTTGTATTTTAAAAAGTCTCCGTTTTACTTTCTAATGTGTTAAATACTGACACATAAGATCCACGGGAAACTCTTTCTGCCTCCGTCGATGCTTTTTAAAAGTAGAAAGGGGCCCTGAGACCAAAAGGTTTAAAACAGCTGAAGTAGAAAAGCTCTTCGCTACAGGCGGGATGACAAATTCTCGCTAGCAAGCCCTCTCCCAGTCTTAACGCTAAATACTCTCAAATCTCCACGAGTTGTTGAAAGTCTTCGCTACGGAAATTCTACAAAAAAATACACTGATGGGATTGAGAAGCTGCAACACTCTCGTTCAACTCGGAACTGCAGAGAGCCCGCCGCACGCCCGGCCACGGGCATGGAGGCGTCAGGCGTGGTCTCCACGCTCCGACCTCCCCTCACGCGCAGCGACCGGAAGCAGGGCACGGTGAGCGGGGAACGAGGGCGCTCTGTGGGCCGAGGCCCGGCCGCTCACCCGTCCAGCTCTGGGATTCGGAGGACGGGGGTGGTGGCGAGACACCCTACGGCCACTGACCGACTGGCCAGCGTGGCACGTTTTCCAGCGGCCTGCGCTATGCAAAGGGCTGCCCGTGAAGCAGACGCAAGGGGACGGACGAGGAGGGAGCAAACGACACCCAGTCCCACGACGCGGGTGCAGAGACCGTGTCGGGGCGGGCCGGCTGCCGGGAGGAGACGCGGCGCGGGTGGCCGCCACGGAGCCCGACCCGGCGACAGGATGGCATGCGCGGTCCCAGCGGCGCCTGCAGCACTGGAGGGTCCAGCCTCTCGGCAGAGGCCGCGTGGTCGCGGGAACGGCACATTTTAATTACTGGAGCCTGGCCAAGAACAGTTTGAAAAGATGACAGGAAACCGACGGGGAGAGGGAGCGGGGCGGAGGCCGCCCGCATTCCGGGCTTGGTAAGGAGAGCGGGACCCAGGCCAGACCCTCGCGGCACAGCACGCAGACCCGCGTTCTGCTCCAACGCCCGACTCAGCACCACCCCGAGTGCCGACCCGGCAGGACGGGCCACGGACGAGGCGATGTCGCCTCTCAGCTGACGAGGCTCAAGCCAAGCGCTCTGGCCGTTTCACGGGGTCAGGTGGGTCCGAGTTCTGGGACGGAAAGAACTTCCCCCGAAGGACACGCACGTAGCTGGCTCACCTGTCTCAGCGCACGACTGAGCGGACGGCAGGTCTGCGGGCGCCCAGACTGCGGGTGCCGCACGGAGACCTACCTGAGAGGCTGAGGTCTGCGAGGACGACGCGCGTCAGGAAGCCGTGCATGTCGAAGTGCACCCTGCCACTCTTCACACTGTCCGTGACGACGGACTTCGCCGAGCCGAGCGCAAGCATGCACGCCTCGTGCACCTTCCACCTGCGACAGGGGCACCGGGGTCGGTGAAGCGCGCTGAGGAAGGCGCCAGGGGAGGGTCTCCGGCACGATGCCACCCAGGGGCCCTGACAAGAGCACTTGCCTCCTAATTAAAAACAAAGCGACAGCCCTTCCTTCCGGAGCTTTTAAAAAGGGTAAAATAAACGTATCTCAACCGGTGGTTTCGGGGTTGAGAAGAACCGCTAGGACAGAGGGCTCGGAGCGAGGCTTTGCTCGCTGGGGCCGGAGGCCCCGCCGCGTCCCTCCACGGAGCCCGCGCTGCTCGCTCTCACCAGTGCTCGGCGCCACTGTCCTTGGTCTGCTCAGCCTCCTGCAGATGCCGAGTGGCCGCGGCGGCCAGGGCCGCTGCACTCTCGTTCTGGAAGTCAGTGGCCACGGCCTGGGGGGGTGGGGTGAGGGGGTGCGCTCATAAATCCATCTGTGCAAATCAAACCCATCTGAGTTGCCAAATGCAAATTTGATTGCAAACTGAATGCTCCAAACTCTTCCACATACACATGCTAAGCTTCGATGAGGTGCATGAAAACACGAGCCCTGTTAGCTGACAGTCTCTGATGACATCAGAGCCACACCTGTGTCTCTGCTGTGTGCAGGTGCCAAACAGCCAACGACGCACATAGATCCCTTTGGCCAGAGTCTAAGGGAGCGACTTGGGCCCAGCTTCGGCTGATGACAGGCCAGAGAGCACTCCCTGGGAGCCGGGCGGAGAGCAGAGGCCCATCTGCCCAACAGGACTCAGCGTGACCTTGCCTCGATGCCCCAGCACGCGTCACGGAGCCAGCAGCATTCACCAGCGACAAGAACCACCCTCCCACCCCACAAAACTGCAGCCTCAAGATCACCCCAGCCCTCGCCAGAGCCGAGGAGCATGGGAGCAGGGGCCTGGGGGCCGCCCCCCAGCAACCCGACGTTTGCCAAGCTCTGCTTCGTGCCACACTCCCAAGGAGCGGATGCAACGGGAACGGCCCTGTTGCCACCACCCGGTGCATCGGGCACTCGTCCGCAGCACAACTCTCGCCCGAATGTTTACTTGTAAACCAGAGCCAGCAGCACGGCTCTGGGACCCGACTCTTGGATTCCGTTTGAGACGCTCCCGTCACCCCCAAACGCCTAGGGCACGGGTGCCGCCGACCCCGCTGGGCTTGGGTCGGGTGTCCAGGAGGAGGGGGCAGCTGGGGCAGTGACGGTCCGTGGCTGAGGCGGGAGACGCCCTTACCAGCAGTAGGTCCTGTGCTGCGATCCTGACAGTGTACGAGAAAGTGTCATCGTCCTCGTCCTCCACGAACTGCTGGGGGTTGGCCGTCCACACTTTAATCTGAAAGGCCGTGAAGTCGGGGCCTGAGCCACAGACCCAGCTCGCACGCCCCTCCGCACACGCGCACATACGGGGAGACCTCAACCCCTGTCTGCATCTCGAACAGAGTCCAGCCCCCAGCCTCTCCTCTCTGACGAGAAGCAAGCCCTTCGTCGAGGCCAGCAACACCGGTCACTGACCACTAGCAGACACCACTTTTACTGTGGGTCGGCTGTCATTCTTGACAGCGATTTTCTGAATATGTTGGGTCTGGTGGGACACTGGACGTGAGTGAAGTCAACGTTCACACTCGTCACACGAGAGAGGCGTATCTCACACGTCAAATGCTCTTTTCTGGTCCAACAGCCCACCGACCCGGCCAGTGACCGGATCTCTACACTTCACGATCTACAGAGAACGAGCAGATTTTCTAGCTGTAAAAGCCTTCAGTGGGCGAACCTGTGCAGGCCAAGGCCAGAGGGCTCCGGAAGCCTGGTTACCTAAGGCAGGAGCCGACGACACCCCAAGCCCGGGGACGTGGCAGCCCAGCACGTCACAGGAACTTGCTCTTCCAGTGCCAATTTTCAGAAAGAAACCTGCGTGCGACCGAGGGCTCGCTGTCGGGTGCCTTCCCCAGACGCCCTTACCTGCTCCTCGGTGATCTGCATGTACAGGATGACGTAGTAAACCAGCTCCGGCAAGGCTTTCTTCACGGTGCTTTTGAATTTACTATTTTCTAGAAGAGCGTGGACGAACTCGAAAATGCTGAAGACGAGATTTTCAAAGCCCAGGACCTCACCTGCAGGCGACACGCAGACGTCGACGACGGGAAAACAGAAGGACACATGTGCCAGGAACGGCCCACGTTACCCTCTGAATTCATGAGCCATTAGAGCACTTGCTGTTATTCCCGAGGGAAAGGAAAAGGGGGCTGACGAGTCCAAGGAGGGAGCTTTGAAGATGCTAAACACTCTGGGTTTTCAAGTAAAAATCCAGAAACACAATGCACTTTCCAGCATGTCTGTGTTGGACGTGAAATACTTAAAAATACTAAAGCGGGAAGGAAAGCACCGCCTTCTGGGGGGTCCCAAGTCAAAAGAGACAGGACGCCGGAGCAGGCGGGTCAGACAGCCCGCGAGGTGCCCCGTCAGCTCGGAGGCGGCGTGATGCCGAGACTCACACCGACGACCCGTCCCCACACCCACGGCTCTGAAAGGACAGTCCACCAGGACGGTGACTCCGGGAGTGAGCCTCGAGGTGGCTGCGTGTCCGGTCCCCGGCTCCCGTCTCCTTCCCAGAGCCCCTTCTGCACTAGGCGGTACCTCCGCCAAGATCGCGAGCGCCACATACCGTCAGAATCCACGGGATCTTCTACTTCCTCCGTGTAATTTACTTCCGTCCTCACGTAAGTATGACGAAGAGTAAAGAAATCGAACTTGGAGTCTGTTTGACAAACAGTCTACGAGGGAGGGAGAAACTAACGGGAAAAGCAGACGCTGCGAGAGCCTCGTCTGAGGGCGGGACCCCGAGCTCCGGGAAAGGATATAAGGCCGCGCTGTCGGTCAGCGTGTTCCAGACGATGGGCAGGATCTGCTGCATGGAGGACACCATGTGCTTCGGGAAGTTCTTCACCAGGGCCGTCACCGCCTGAGGACGCAAAGACAAGGCTGGGGTTGCACGGGATGCGGGCGGAGCGGCAGCGGCTCCGGAGCAGCCCCGGTCCCGGGCGCCGGCGGCGGCGAGCGCTCACCTTCAGGACTTCCATCTTGAAGCCGCTGTCGGAGGTGGGGCCGTCAGGCACCTGCAGGGCCTGAACGAAGGCCTCCGTGAACTGCTGCACCACGGGGAAAATCAGCGCTTTGGCGGCGCCCTGGCGACAGAAACCGCGCCCGTTAGCGGTAATGAGACGCGCGCCCAGCGCCCAGCGCCCCTGCGGACTGCAGCCCCGCCACGGCCTCCCCACACCGCATCCCGCACCCCGCACAGGGCGGCTGCCTCTCAGCTCGCTCCACTTCCCATGGCGGGCATGGCGAGCGGTGACATTCGGGGGTGACGGCGTGGGAAGGACGCAGGGAAGTGAGGGGCTAGAGGAAGAAGGCCGGGCCCCACGCAGGGACAGTCTGCTCCAGGCGCCCGTGCACCCGCCCCCAGTGAGTGGGATTCTGGCCCAGCTGCCCCGCGGCGGGAGGCGCCCATTCCGCGCCCAAGCGCAGAGCCTGTCACCTTCTCCAGCTCCTCCATGTTGCAGATCATGTGGGCACAGGCAGTGAAGATCTCCACAGCACGGGAGCGGGTCCGGATGCCGTACACCTGGGGGACAGAGCAGCGTGAGAGGGCGCACGTCCGTGTCCATGTCCGTGTCCGTGAGCACAGAGAAGCCGACTCCTCGGTCCCGCCACGGAGAGATGGGAGTGCACCCCTCACGTCCAGGGGGCTGGCTCCCCAACTCAGAGAACGCTGGCAGAGCATTGGGCTCGCTGGACTGAGCTGGGCACCCGCGACTTCGGAGGGCCGGCCTGACGACGAACACCAGGCCGGACGCTGTGTCACACACCCGGTCAGGGCACATCTTTTGAAAGGCGGACCCGTGGCTGGGGCGGAGAGGCGCGGGGAGGGGAAGCCTGACCCGCCGGCACGCGCCCCGTGCACGTGTCGCTGGTCCCACACCTGTCACTCAGGTGCTTGTTCTGTTTGGTGCGGGTCCCTGGGCGGTGCAGTGACGGACAGGCTCCCGATACTCAGCTGAGGGGGGAGCAGGTCAGGTGCGACGACTGGCTGAGAGGCTGGCGGGGGCGTAAGGGCACCAGGTACCAGGGGCACAGCGGGCCGGGAGGTAGAACGTGTGACAAAGAGTGTCTCTCAGTCACTCAGCAGAAGCGAACGGGCTGAGGCGAGTGCAGACTCAGGCCTTCGTCGGTAAACACGACACCTCCCCCTGGGGACAGCCCTGTCTGCCGTGACCCTGGGCCGGAGACCCGTACCTCGGCCATAGTGAAGATCTTATACATCTCTGGGAGAATGACGGGAGCGACGAGTGGCATCTGGGTGTCTGTTACTTCTCGCGTGAATTCTGCAAAGGAAAAAACAGCACTGTAAAAGCACATTGCTTTGCAAAAACAGTAAACATGAAAGTTTTGAAGTTCGGGGTGGCGGCCCCGACAGAGAGCGTACAGGTGAGGACACTGGCCCGGAGCCGTGTCTCAGGGAAGGAAAAGCAAGAGCTACTGATTATTTGTTAGAAGTGGGGAGAGAACAAGGGGATAAAGGGAAACACACGCGACGAAGAAAACCTTTAGCACAACAGGAAGTACAAATGTGAAATTACAATATACACCTGGAAACTACAGTTTATTAACCAACGTCACCCCGATAAACTTAGAAAGAAAGAGAAAGGAAGAAAGAAAAGTTTTCTATAGGCAAAGAAAATCTGTGACAAGTAGGTAAGAACTTGTGCGGCCACCTTAGGAAAAGTCCGCATCAACCTCGTTTGTGCCCAGGTGTCAACATCCTGGGGCGTGTCGCCTTTGGTGCTATTTTTGATTCTGTCCCCTGCCAAGCTGCTCTGACGCACATACAGATTGATCTGGGGGCTGCTCT